ACATATATGTGTGTGTTTATATATATAAATGGTTGATCCACAAATTTCAACGTTGATTTAAATGAAAATTGGATTTCTTTCTTTTTTTTTTTGTAGGTTTTTTATGTTTTCTTTTTCGGTTTTTTTTTGTCTCTATCGATTTTTTTTTTTTGTTTTTTTTTTTAGTTTCTTCGGCTGATGCTGTGGAAGTTGTTGTTGTTGCTTTTATAGTTGTATAAGAGTTTTGGAAGTTGCCACGAAAAAGGTTTTCGATCTCAGACACTACCCCCGCCGCCGCCGCCGCTGCCGCCATCGCCATCGACCAAACTGTTCTTGCCAATCCATGCAACGCCTCGCCTCGCCCCGCGATCGTTATTTTGATTAAGATGGGTACCGAGACAGAAAATACGCACGCGCGCACGCACCCACACCCGCCCACACACGCACACACACATATACAAGCACGCACGCACACACACACACACACACACGACGAACACGCTGAATATATATATATATTTTTCGTTTGCTGTTATTGTTGATAGTTGGATTTAGTTGTAGATTTTGATTGCCTTCTCGGAGAAATTGAGTGAGCTGCGCTTGCGCGATTTGTTGATGTGGTCGAGCCCAAAGAACGGCAACTGGCCGCCAGTCCATGTCCGATATACCTCGAGATCAATGGACGTATTGTCGTTCACGTCAATGGTATGGCCCATGGTGATAACGGCGAACTTATAGTTCTCCCACTCCTTGTCGGGCACATTGAGGCGCTTCTGTATGCGCTGCTTGAGCGCCCCGTACGGTTCGCCGTGTCGCGCCTTTGTGAGGAACGGGACACCGAAGGAATTGTATAGCTCTTTGCTGAAATGGGCCACCGGGATGAGGAGCTCGTTCTCGGCCAGCTGTGACTCCTCGGCGGGTATCTCTTCGATGCGATAGATTTTCTGTGTGCCCTGTGTGGTTGTTATCGACTCGTTTGTCTTCATCAGCGTCTCTAGCGGTATATCATCCTTGCATATGGCGACAATCTTGTGATTGCCCACCTTCAAGAGGCGCAGCTTCTTGCGGCTATTCTCGGCAAATGTTATTGTCTTGGCAGCCTCATCCAGTAGTCCCTTGACTGTATCATTTTTGTTCGGATACAGCACCAGCTCCTTCTCCTCCTTCAGGTCATTGGAAACCCAAATGCACTTGAATAGCTTCTTGTTATCCAGTTCGTGTATGCTCAGGGACAGTCTCTGGTAGAAGATACGTTTCGGCGTGCTCTGCTTTGTGTACGATAACAGATCCTTAATGGTACCCTGCGAATATATATCAATTTTAAAACATATACACACACACACATATACATATATATATACTGCAATACACTGGGTTAAGGATTTAGTTTTAATTATTACTTTTAAAGTTCGTTCTTGTGACTTGTAAAGCAAATGCAAACGATTTATGGGGCAAACAGTCGAAACGGAACAAGCTCTGTAAAAGTCAATTAACATTTGTGCTACTGTTAACGTCATGTTATTGAAAGATGTATGTTAAAAAAGACTAATATTAATTGCTGTGGCTTGTGAGAAAACCAAAAATAATATTCGAAAAAGAACGAGTATCTTTGACTGCGCCGCATACCAATGGGAGCTACACGATTGGAAATATGCTTTGAGTATTGTGAAGGTCGCAATTGCCGAAAAATTTATAAGATTGGAGGCTAGCGATCGATCGATCCGAAGGGGAATCTGTTTTTGGATGTCAATATATGGTACGCACCTTGTAGGTGTAGGGCACAGCATTGCCGGCGGTTTCTTTGTAGTTGCTGATGCACATGAAGAACTGGAGCTTCTGGGGATCCGTGTTGAGGCGCTCGGCGACAGCATTAGTTAGCTGATCGTAGTTGTAGCGATTCGATAGCTCGAGCGTAAAGTCCGGCTCATTGGGATTGCATTTGTCGCTGAAGATGATCTCGATGCGATAGACCAGATCCAAAAAGTAATCCTCAACGGTGGGCAAATCCAGTTTGGCATCAACATTCTCGCGCTCAAATATCAAAATGGGACCCTGCAAATGATCCTGCGGCATATATAGCACATTCTCGATGGGCTCATTAATATTAGGTATCTTCTTATCGGCATATTCATCGAACACGGTCAGCTCGGTGTCCAGCTCAAAGCCGAGCTTCCGATTAATCTCCGGCACCAGTTCGCTGAGGCGACGACACAGCGGCTGCTGTGTGCAGCCAATGTAATTGAGGCGCTTGTTGCGCGCATCATAATACTTGAGGAAGAGCAGCACGTCCGTTTTGGGATTGAAGGGCAGCAGGGGCACGCTGCTGTCGGGCGGTGCCAGCTCCAGGAAAATGACCCACGGCTTTTGAGAGGTGGGTATCTGCTCGATGGTGCGTCCGGCCTCCGCCTCGAAATCAAAATGCAGGAACTTTTGTGATTGGGCCGTGCACATGTTCCACATGCGCATGCGATCGCGCGGCACACCGAATGCCTTGACCAACATCTCGACCATTTCGTTAACAGTTTGGTTTTGCTTTAGCTTAAATGGACGCTGGTGAGTCTTCTCCAGATCGAAGAGGCGTCGCTTTTGCTGTGACTCAAAATACTCCTCGAGTATTACGTGTATGGGCACATACAGATTGGCCTCGCTGCGTTCCTTGCGTCGTGCCATTTCGATGCGCTTCTCCAAATCGAGGCGCTCAACCAGGTCGCTGGATATCTCATTTTCGGGTATATCGCCCAATACGCGATCCAACTCGGATTGCCGTATATAGACCAGCATATAGGCATTGCTGCATTTGGCATGAAACGAGATCTCGTCATCCATGCCGCCATAATTCTGCTCGATGGCCTCCTGTTTGCGGCAACTGGAGACCACATCGTCATCAAATTTGAACCAGCGACCATCGGCCTTTGGATTGATAAAGACCACATAATGCCCACCATGATTGTCGCCCGAATGCACCAGCACAGCGTGCAGCACATAGTCGGCTGGTGTCTTCTCACGCTCCGCCAGATAACGATCCAGATTGATTTGCTCATAGAACTCGAAGCGATCGTTATACTTGATCGAGCTATCTGTAATCGGATCGTATTGGAAACGCATCAAATGCAAATGCAACACCGGCGGGAATGATGTGAATATGACGCCCTTGCTGGCCTCCTGTGTACAAATTAATAAAGAGAGAAAGAGAGAGAGGGAGGGAGAGATAGAGAGAGAGAGAGCAATCAATTATTTGTAAATATATCTATGTTTATTTTGGGTTTAGATTCATGCTGTGGTAACATTTTAGCTCGCAGCAGCTCAAATAAGAATTCTTCCAAGCTTTTACGATCCACACCCAATCCAATTGATGTGGATGGCAATAGAGGAAATCCAAGAATTTTAGACATATACAAATTATATATATGCATATGTAGACCATATATCTTGGTAGAAACGTGCCGAATCAAAGCAAATGTGATCAGAGCATGAGATAAGTCGAAGGCGTAGTATTCACTTACTTGGAGACCATGGACACCGGCATCGTATTTGTTATCACCCTCGAGTGTCTCGGAGGCGACATAGTCCTGAAATGAGTCATAGATGTTTTTCTTGTCTTTGATATTTAGCTGAATATCGTAGAAGGTCTCGTAGCGTGTGCTGTTGTAATCGACATTTGTGCATTTAATGTACGATGACATTTTGCCCTCGAACAGGCCGGGAATTGTGCCCTCGAGGCAGGTGCCCTTCATCTTTGATTCGAGCTTGTCGAGCAGCACGCGGAGAAACTCCTGGACATCGTGCTGCATGAACGAGTCGAGCGTCTCCCAGCCAAACGATTTGGTTAGCTTCTTGGTGCCGACAGGGCGATCGCCGAACTGCAGCTCATGGAAGACGCGCTGCAGGGATAGGCCCACCGATTTGGTGCTATCGTCGGCCTCGGTCGGTATGCGATAAACCGCCAAACGTAGTGAATTTGTAAAATATAGCGTCTGGAGCAGCGAATTCATATAGCATGTGGCGCCCTGATTCTTTAGGCCCACATAGCCGGTATGCTTCTTGGAGTCCCACAGCACGCCGTGCGGTGCGTCGGCAATTACGTGCACCTCCAGCGTAATGCTGCCATTGTTCACATAATATTTATCTGGATCCTGCAGCTCCTGCCAGGTTATAAAGTTCGAGTAACCATAATCGTTCTCCTTCGAGTAGAATAAATGCTTGATGCGAGCGCGCGTAAACGGCGGCGCATCCGGCTTGTGGCATTTCAGACGCAGCTCGGCAATGGCATTGCACGACCAAGTGGGCGAATCGTTCTCCCCATTACACTGCAGAAAGAAGCCCAGCGCACGATCGTTCGGTATAACCATTATCTTCCATGGCAGCATGCGCACATAGACTGGCTGCGACAGATGCTGTTGCTTTATCTGCCCGACATTCTCCACCGTATAGGAGAACGTTGTCTCCGAGCGGAACTGATCCTCCTTCGTTTCGTCGTCCATTGGCATCTCTTGCTCGTTGCCAAATGATGTGGAGCTGCTCTCTGCCAACAATTGCTGTGGCGGCACGTTACCGTTCTCACTGGGTAGCTGCTGCTGCTGTTGCTGTTGTTGCTGCTGTTGCTGCAGCTGTGGATGTATCAGATTTTTAAACTTTGGCAATTGTGGCGGCGAGTTTGTCTGTTGTTGTTGTTGTTGCTGCTGCTGCTGTTGCTGCTGTTGTTGTTGTTGTTGTTGCTGCTGTTGCTGTTGTAGGTCACTTGTGATTATCTCGACCTCTTGGGTATCCTGGGTGTCCATTGCTTCGATAGACTGATCTGTTTCAATGTCCATCTTATTCGGCACTTGAATGTTGCTGTTGATCGGCTACTGCAAACGCCGCCGCTGCTGCTGCTGCTGCTGCCGTTCCTGCTGTTGCCGCCGTACTTGTTGTTTTTCCTATTCAAGCGATTTTGATTATTATTTGTAGTAGATTAAGTTTTATGTTTTTTTGTTATTTTGTGTTGTTGTTGTTGTTATTTTTTTTATTATTTTGTTTTGTTGTTTTTTTTTTTTTTTTTTTGAGTGTGTGCTCTTTTTTGTGTTGTTATCGTGTTGACATTCGATTTCGATTTCGATTGCGTTGCGCTTAATGTTGCAGCAGCCGCCTGAGTTATCTGAAAATTCAATGGAAAATAGGTAACAGGAGAAGGAGGAGACGGAGAAACATCGATAAATAAACATACAGACACATACGCACGCACATATGTATGTGTATGCATATGCAATGCATATAAATATATGCATGTGCATGAGTATTGATCACAAGAAGCTTGCAAACTTTTCGCAAGTTTTTTGTCAACGCATTTTTATATGCATATGCACACACTTACACACTTATGCGTATTTCATAACTTTTCATTATATATTTATGCTTGTTTTATGCAATTACACATATGTACAATACACATACATAAATGTGTGTGAAGAATTTGCTCACGCCAAAACGAAGTGCGCCGCATCGCTTTTGTCCCAACACACACACACACACACACACTCGCACTCGCACACACACACAAAACACATTCGCTCACAAAACACATTCGCACGCACGCACGCACGCATAAAACCCTCCGCTTTACACATTTACCCCCGCTTGCCAACGGGCGGGCATCAACTCAACTGAGCTTCCACACACAATTGCAAATGCAATGTATATTTTTTTTTTTAAATGTACTTACCTTAGAAGATGTCAAAAAGTATATGGGGTATATTTCGGCTTTGGCCGCAGGCTGGTTGATGGCAGGCAGCTGTAGGCTCGAACTCGAACGCAAGCGCCAACCGTCAAGAAAAAACTTGCAAATTTTCTTCCTATTTTTCTTTCCAACCTACACTTCAATTTATGGCGTTCTCTTCATCTGCAGTGTGTGTTGTACGACGCTTTTTTTTTTTGATAGCAAAAAAAAAAGTCGGAAACATAAATTTTGTCAAAACTGTTTAATTTATATGAACAACACTTGTGACGTATTTTGCTCGGAACTGCATTTGCGTTTCCGATTCATTAAAGGAAAGGTGCAAAATTTAACTTTAATCTAGCAAGCAAATGTTAATGCTCTACTCGAAGTGGCACTGCAAACTCAAAAGGAAAATATTTTGACGCTGTTATGTCAAAAATAAGCTGCCAGCTGAAAAAAAACTATCGACTATATTATCGATGTGTAACGATAGTTCGATGTTGATCTAACAATCGCTGCTTTCACAATATCGATGTTTTTTGGTGCAATCTATTTTGATTGCTTTAATTTAAATTCGCTGACGAGTTAGGCTTAAAAAATTACAATTTTACTTATAGCAACAGCCACAAAAAATTCAAAAATAACAACAACAACAAATGACAACTGTGCCGTAGATATACAAAAAATTCTAGTCTGACTAGTATATTCAAAAATAAATAAAAAAATATTGCCCGATATTAATTTGAATATAAGGGAGACGGCATTTGGCAAATAAATGAAATAAATGCAAAATGATTGATTGATATAATAAAATAAACATTTGTAAAATTTATAAAATCAACTTGAATCGGCCGACATGCGCTTGAGGTACATTTGCAAAAAGTTTTGATCATTTACAGTTTTGATTATATACAATATATTGAACTTGATCGATATTTGGCTAGATAATGCGCGCTAACTGGCCTCCCGCTTTCGTCCCTGCAGACGTTCACAGCGCGAGCATATGCCCGCCGAGTTGGATTTCCAGCAATTGTAGTGGGCACAGGCGCCGCACTGGGCACAACGCTGCACCTTGCGCTGCCAGGGATAAATGAGCTGGCGACTCTTGCAGTATTCACAGACAAAGGCGCGACCAGTGCAGAGCTGAAAGAGTTGAGAAATTGATGATGGATCTAATTGGATTGATGACTTTCTAAACTGTAAACTGGGCTCTCACCACACAGCCGTGTACGTGCTGTTCGTTGAGAGCAATCAGCTCCTCTATGGAGCGGCACATGCTGTTGTTTTGTACATCAACAAAATCACACATGGACCACATGTCCGGATCATTGGTAATGTGCGCCGGCACCGCATCAAATAACGCTTGCTCCCTTGGTACAACAGAACGAATGCATCAATTAGAAAGAGATAAGCTGACGAACAGTGGAACTGCTGGCTTACCTGGTAGCAAAACGGCAAGCGGCTATAAAATCGCGCACATATTTGAGCTGGAGCCGACGACGTCGTGCCATGGCCAAGGGCTTTTGCTTGACATACAGCTGGGCATTCAGATCTGGCACATGGAATAGCGGGAACGTGTACATCTGCTCGATAAGGCGATACGCAAACGAGCTAACCGCATAAGAGCGAAAGTCCCAGGCCTGCAGAATCTTGGCGGGTATGGCCGACAGCTGGTTGCGATGGCAGCCGGTGCAGAGATATTTGCCCAAATAATTACAATATCGAAAGTATTGTTGATACTGTCGAGTCACATGCATGCCGCAGCCGGCGCAGCGATAATTCTGGCGCGCCAACAGCTGTGAGCGACTGGCAGGCGCGTGCTCCGTGAAGATAATCTGCTGTCGCGGTGGCGCCCATGTTTTGGTGCCACGTGTCAGGCTTGTCTCACTCGCCAGCTGGTGTGAATGATGCAGTTGTTGCTGCTGTGCCTGGTGCGGCTGCTGCTGCAGCTGCTGTTCCTGTAGCTTGGGCAATGGCAGCAGCTGTTGGGGCGCATCCTGCTCCGAAACGAGCCATTTAAGATCACCCAATTTGGGCAGCTGCTGATCATTAAAGCGCGAGATTAGCTGCAAGCCCACCGCCTCGGCGCTGTTATTACAATTACAATGGCTACTCTGCTGCTCCGCGTAGGGTATCAACAAAGCATCGGCATCTGCATCTGCATTTGCGACCGCACTGCTGGCAATATCCGCCGCTGGCTGGTCGCGTCTGCTCCACTTCACATGCTCAATGGCCGCAATGCATGCCTCCGAGATCCGAAAATGGGCATTCTCCTTCTCCAATTCGGTATTGTTGTGCGTATTGCGCGACATTTGCAGAAATGCGGCCAGGCTCTGTTGGTCAATTTTGTTGCCGCTGCTGCTCTGCTGGCTGTCGCTGCTTAGGCTGCAGGATGTGGTGCTGCAGCTGGCGCTGCCATGTGCCTGGCCAGCTGTGCCACCGCCGACTATGTCCAGCGGCGCTGTGCTCGTCGTTGTCGCCGTTGATGCCTGACAATCGTTGTAGTCGAGCATGCTGACGCCTTCGAATAGCGATTGCCGCTGTCGCTTGTCCAGTTTGCGTCCATTCACGGGCAGAAACTTGTGCATCAGCACTGCACTGCTGGCCTCCTCGTCCTGGCCCAGACTCTTGCTATACCAGCTCGTGTAGACGGGCGGTGAGCCAAACAGGTTGTTGAGAAAACTGTTAAGCGGACTGCCGCGCTTGGCGCACTGCGTCGTTGGCTTTCTCGTTGCCGGTATATGAGCTGGTGGCGTTACGCTGTTGCTGCCCGTTTGGTCCGTCCAGATCTTGATGTCGTCACAGTTGATCAGCTGTATGCGGTGCGACGCAGGTGAGGCAGGCGACGCCACCTGGCTGCAGCTGCTGGCAGTGCTAATGCTGGAGCCGCTCAACGGTGGCAAATCCTTGCCTTGGCTGCGCCAGTGGCCGCACGGACTGTTGTAGGTCTGACAACGCGGCCGCCGTGCAGCCGGCCCAGCCATGGCACTCGGCGACCACCTATTCACGCTGCAATCGTTCTGATAGAGGCTGGGCAAACTTTTGATTCGTCGGAGCAGCTGCAACGGACGTGGACGTGACGGTAACTGGCGATGCTGTTGCTGTTGCTCCTCCTCCTGCACCACATGCAAGCGCTGTGTTATGCTAAAATTGGGCTGCGAGCTGGTGCGTCGATGGCGACGCTTATTCAACGGCTCCAGCTGGCTGAGCAGGCTGCTCTGGTCCAGTTCAATGGCCGTCAGGCAGACAAACAGCGCCGCCGCATAGCCGCTGTGCCGCAAATAGGACACATCTCGCTGATAGTAGCAGTCGAGCAGCTCCTTGTCCGCCACCAGCGACTGCACGCAACGCGACAGGCAACGCGTGCGCAGGCAGCTGGCCACCCATTGCGCCAAGAACTCCCCCACGCTGACTTTGGTTCCAGATGACAGCGCCGGCGGCGGCGCCGGCGGCGACTGGCGATCCGCGAGACGCAAAAACTCAAAGTCCTCAATAAGACGCTGCGAATGCAAATAATCAGGGACATTAAAAACCAAGGCAATAGTCAAGTTAGGTAAATCAATATGTAAATAAATTGGTCGGGTTACGCATAAAATGCCAATGTTTATAGTGTACGAATGTTACCCAGGAGTGTCTATTAGATGTTTACAAGTGTATCATCATCAATTGCCAGCTAAGTTGATGATGTTTATTTAATTTTACGTTCCATTTGAGCGGATGATATACAAAGAGAGGCATATGCGAGTCCATTGGGCGTACTAGAGAAACTCATTTGAGAAGTAAATGTTCGTCATGTTAAGCCTCGTCGATATCTGATCCGCTTCCTATAGATCTATTTGCAGCTAAACAAGACGCTCAGCTTTAAGATATTTTGATGGAATTCCGATTTGATTTACAAGCTTCATTGATTCATAAATAAAATCTAATTAGCATCGGACTGCTATGACATATAGTTACTCTAGGAGATTGTGTTCCATTTTCTCCACAGCATTCCCTTAATCAGATTGATATAACAAACAGATGCCATCGGAATGTTGAGAGAGTTTCTGTAACTTGGATCAAAATTATATATACATATGTCTGATTGGTCAGCTCAAACGATTATTTGTTTGTTTCGTTTTGATATTTTCTTTTGGGTTTTGGGGCGTTGTGAGCTTTGCTTATCTGAAGTCGAGCCGAACTTACCAGCGTTCCGAGGTCCGTTGGCTGTAGCAGGCCATGCTGCAGGATTTGGACGCATGTTTGCACGAGCAGTTGCAGGCACTCGTCGCTTTTGGCTTGGAACCAATGATTGGTGGCTCGTCGCAGCTCCGTCTGGAGTGTGGAAAGCTGGAGATGTTGTTGTTTCAGCTCGCGCTGTTGATGATGGCTGCGCCTGTGCGTGTCACAACTCCAAACTGGCGGCACAGCCGATGTGGTTGCTGTCCCACTGGACATGTCCGTTGTTGTTGTTGTTGTTGCTGTTGTTGCGGCTACGTTTGGGCAATTGAGTGCGTTCACTCATATTTACATGTATGTAATTGCATTGCAATCTTGCGCATTTATGCAGTTGCGTTGCTCATTTTGCCAACAATCGTTATCGATATATGAAACATATCGAAAAACAGCTGTTTACAATGTGACCAGACTTTTCGACATGTGATGCCAGCTCCACAAATCGTTAATGTTATTTTAAATCAAAAATTTTGGCGCCCGAGATCCGGATTTGTTGCACGATATTTGCTAATATATGTTTTGTTACGCATATTGCTCTGCGCAGCAAATAAATATAATGTTAATGTTAAATACACGCATTCCAACGTATGCACATACACACGCGCAATCAAACATACATTCTTATAATTAAACACAAACACGCACACGCACAAAACAATTTCTTGCAAAAGAAACATTTACTGGCGCCGCATGAAAACCTTTAGGGCTTACTTAAGGTTTTGAGAATCGAGTAGAAGTACGTTGTGGGACTTAAATTTCGTTTGCGCTTCGTATTAGACATTATCCATACATGCCTACATACACATGCAATACATACAAATGTGCATGTATACATGCACACATTAACACATACATATATACGCACATACACACATATAAAATATCAATTACAAATACGTATGACTTTAATTGAAATGTGTGCAGATTAGTTAACATTTAAATGCAATATACGAACTGATTAAAAATGTTGCACAATTTGTTCATATACTATTCTAGTCTATTGAGTCTTTTTGTCGTCCTTGGCGGATTTGCCGGCGGTGGCATCCTCCTTGAAGTGCAAAAAGACAAACGAGAAGACAAAGACGCCAATCATCATGGAGAAGGCGCTGGTGTAGTAGGGGAATGCGCTGGGTATGAATCGTTCGTATTGTGTGTGCTCCAGTGGACGCACCGACACTTGGGTCGTGTTGTACAGATGCGTATAGCCGATGCGATTGTAGTCGACCTTGAACTGATAGACACCATAGACGTCGGGTATCTTGAATCTGGCCTCGTAGCTGCCGCTGCTCGTCTGCTTGAGGAATGCGCGCACAAACGGATCGATGCGCACAAACTCCAGCTGAATATCGTTGGCTTTGAACGGCTGCCAATTGCCCAGCACCAGCTCCTCAATGTCAATCGTATAGACCACGGGATCTGTAATGGTGTATGCCTGCTCTGGCGGCTGACTTTCACCCTCCTTGTGGTGCCGCACAGAAGCCACACGCAGTCTGCCGCTTTCGCCAAACACCCATTTGCTAATGGCTTCGGCGACCGCCCGATTGCCAGCCTGTTTGTGGAAGGCGCCGGTCTGCGCATACTGCACGGCCATGGTGAAGGTCTCATCGGCAAAGAAGTGCAGCGAGCCGGAGAAGACGACGCGTGCATTGTTGCGTGCCTGCAGAGCGGCAATTAGCAGCGTGCCGCGGCCCACAGCATGCGGATAGTCTGAAACGCTGGAGTCGGGATTGTAGCTGTAGGCGCTGCTTTCCGCCGTCAGCAGCTTCAAGACCAAAGGATTCTCCTTGTCCGCAATAAGTCCCGTGCCGCGATATAGCAGCGGCGCCGCATTCGCCTGACGATTCTCGCTACCCACCACGCTCGCCGCATCAACCAGATTCCGGGCCGAAGTGAGAATAGTTGTATGGTCGCCCGCATCGCTCACATCGTAGTGCAAGTGATCGATGACGGCAGCATTTTCCTCGTCCAGCTCGAAGCCGCACTCAGAGGCGAATTCACGCAGTGCATCACCGGATTTCTCGCTGCCCGCAACCAGAACATTGCCGCCGTCGTCCACGAATTGTGCCAGACGCTCCACGCTGATGTCACCGCCGAATTCCTCGACGCTGGGCGCGAAGATAATTAGATTCTTGTATAGATATTCGCCATAGCGAGAGAGCAACAGACCGGAGTCGTCCGCTAGCTTATAGGTCAGCTTAAATCCGCGATCTATAAGAGGGGAGGTGGACAAAATATTTGTAAAGTGTTGTACACGTCATAAGTTATGCATGTATGTGCGTGTGCGTGTGTGTGTGTGTGCGTGTGCCGGTTACCTTGCAATGTTTTGAAGAAAATTGAATGCGTTTCACGAATAGCTAAATTGTCCAACAGCACCAGAGTATTGGCATCGCTTTCAAGCACAGCATTGCAATTATTTATTGCGAAAATCGCAATTATTAGAAGTTTCCACATTCTGAAAAAGCCGATGCAAGTGTCACTCTTCACTAGCGATGGGTAATGTACAAAATGTCACCGAATTATCGATATATCGATGATAGTGGGTGCGATTTCCGCCAATGCTTAATCGATGTTTCTTGATCGTGCTTTTAAATGTTTAAAAATCGTTGTATGCTTAAACAAAAACACAACGTAACTTCGAGAGTATGTACATTTGTTGTATTGGTTACATTAATATTTAAATTAATTATAAGATAAATTATAAAAATAAGCAAACCAACATTCATTATATGTGTGTTGCCATAACTATACAGTTTTATATTATTTGACGCCAATCTTATTAATACGTTTAATTATAAAATTGCTGTGTATTAGCTGTGTATTCTTTTGACAACATAATTAATTTCTGATTCTTAATAATGTTATTTTTACTTTAAGCTCAGCAAAAGAACTAATTTTGAAAATGCTTTCACATTATCAGTGTGGCAACGCCAAAAATGTGGTTCTTTAGAATAAAAAGCTTCCCTTATAGAAGAGCTTTCGAAATTTCGCTTTTAAAGTGTATCTAATTGGAAAACGCTTCTTCGCAAATTCGAACTCAGTTTCAGTTGCAAAAAGCTGGCGTCGCGCGCGGACGCTGAGGTGCGGCGGTATTTATGCTTACAGTTCTACCACTGACAACGGGCACTGCGAACGCGTGCGAGATTTGATTTAATTTTTTTTTCGAGTGCTATAAACAAATATAGTTAACAAATGCTTGAAGTGTGAGAGAGCAACAGAAGGCAGCATATTTATTTACATAAAACATCAGCTAGCTAACAGAAATAACAGGAACATGCAGAGCTTTAAGAAAGCACCGCATTTGGACAGCAGCAAGAACAACAACAACAACAACAACAAGAGTCGCTTATAAACAAACGTGTGTGCAAATCCATAAAATCAACAAGAACAAGAAACGCAAGAATAAAAACAAGTGCAAATTGGGCCGCTGCCGCAAACGAAACCAAAAGCAATGGAATTAAAATAAAAAAAAAAAACAACAAAGTTAGCAGCAACAGCAAAGGGCAATTAAAATTGTTTACAGAAAAATTCTGCTGATGCTTGACAAACTAACGGTATATTGTTGCTAGCTGAGGTGGTGGTGTTGCTGCTGCTGCTGGCATTTGGTGGTGGCGGCATCTACATACTGCTGTCCGTTGTTTTTATATGTAGATACATAGATACAAAAATAATCAAATTAAATTGAAAATAGCGTAACAAGCATCTGGTCAACATGCAATTAATGCAGACTAATTGAAATGGTGACAGTGTGCAACCTGGTCCGGCCCCCTCGCCATCCTCTGTCTCCGTCCAAAAGTGCAGAAGTAGCTAAATGAATGGTAATTAATGCATATGTAGCGTATGTATTATGCGTGCAAGAGTAAGAGAGAAAGCGTGTAGTTGGCGAAGAAGAGAAGCAGCGAAAATAAAAGTGCAAGTGTCAGTTGTTGTTGTTGGTGTTGTTTTTATTTCGATGTTAGTAGAGCGCGGTTGAAATTTATCGATCGACCAAAAAACATCAACAACAACAGCAGCCGCAGCCGCAGCCGCAGCAGCGCAGAGCAGCGCGCACAAAACGTAAGAGAATGCAACTGGAGAGATGCTGCTTTACCGGTCAACGACGCTGACGCTGACGCCGACGCCGACGACAGCACCGGCAAGTAGCAGGACAAGGCCGTCAATTTGCTGCCAGCTTTGCGGTCGGCGTGAAAGTTCATTTTATGCGTGCAGGTCCAAGCCGCAGCAACAGCAACAGCAGCAGCAGCAGCAGCGGCGGCGGCGGCGGCGCAAAAGTGAAATCTTACCAGCTCTTCGCTCTTTGCTATCTTGTCTCTTTGTATGTGTGTGCGTGTGTGTGTGTGTGTTTGTGTATGTAACAACTCGCTGGCGCTGGCTTACATTTACTTTTCTTTTTATTTATTTTTGTGTTTTTTTTTTTTTTTTGGTTCTTGTGCAGTCAAGTGCTACAAATAGCACAGTAAAAGTAGCTGAACAGATAAACTAATAGTTAGTGAAAACAAAAAGAAAACAAGACACGAAAATCAACCAACGGCAACGTCAATTTCTTCTTGTCAATCTCCAAGTAGAAGAAGAATAACCACAACAACGACACGCTGTTTCGTTGCGCTAGCGGCGGCGGCAGCCAGCGGGGCGCTGGCAAAAAATTGCGGTATGAATATCTGTTATATTCAGTTCTACAATAAGTATGTTAGTGCATGATATACATTAGGTATGCACAGTGAAAGCTCTGTTAACGGACAGCCTCTTTGGGCGAACTCTCCTTGAGCCGGAAAAATTGTTATTTCAATTTCTTACACTTCATTTTTGAAAGCCATTTTTGCAGAGGGAAAGCAAACGGAATAATACAATCGCCGCTTCGAATTTCGATATTTCATTGTTTTGCAAGATATATATGACATATATATATATATATATATATATATGTATGTTCATATTTGAAGAGAACATTTTCTTTAGCAGGATACTGTAGGCAGTCGTCGAATAGAGCTTTTACTGTACATTTGAGTACATATGAATGTGCATAAAAGTTCAAATACAATTGTTCACATTCATATGATGCCTTGTTTCCCCTTACATAAATATGTACATGTACATATGTATATTTACTGTTTATTTTGTAGTTTTGCCAAAATTGCAGACGCTGTACTTTAAACATTCGAAATGCACTTCGAAATATGGTCCAAAGTTAAGCACCAGCCACAGCGCAGCAGCAGCGCGCATTAGGCCAGCCACATGCATGCCAAATCATTTACATATTCAAATCACGTTCACGTAAGGGATGCGTCAAAATGCATTAAACTCTAGATTGGATCCGTATTGAATTTTTACCGTTACATATGTCGCCATGTATGCAAATGCATGCATGTATGTACACATACATAC